AAAGAATAGACAGGGTCAGACCCTCAGATGTGTGTGAGGATTCTCGAACGAATAAATGTGTACGTGTGCTGATATTTGTAATTATAAATTGTAAATACATGTGACTAATATTATTTTTTTTATTTTGTGAATGTTAAACAAACAACACTAACCCGATAACATTAAATCTAAATACCAAAATGATTACCGGTAATTTACTGTGTTTTTGTTATTTCTTACTCCCGTTTTTAGGTATTCGGTATTCGGCCGAATAGTGATTAAATATTCGGTATTCGGCCGAATAGTGATTAAATATTCGGTATTCGGCCGAATAGCGAAAAATAGGCCGAATAGGCCGAATACCGAATAATAACCGAATATTCGTTACATCCCTAATCCAAACCAAAAAATCAGATATAGTTAATAGCGGGCCTTTCAGAGAACTACCAATAGACCCAAAAGAAGTCATTTATGTTGAACTCAAAAAGCGAATAAATAAGCAATTTCAACTAAAAAACATAGAAAGAGAAGACAAACAGTACATTCTAGCAAACGAAAATAGCAGAACTCCTAAGCTAAACATACAATTAAAAACACATAAGCCAGGCGAACAAATAAGACCCGTCGTCGACTTCAAAAATTCAACTCTATATAATTTAGAAAAATACTTAAAACGAGAATTACAAAAGTACAATAATTCGGAATGCTCCATCAAACACGCAGACGAACTTATACATGACATGGAAAATATAAAAATGAGCAAAAATTACAGACTTGCAAGCCTAGATATAATAAACATGTACCCTTAGATAACCTGGAATCTAATAGAAAGTACACTAAAAAAGATTGAAGCAAAGGAAGAAGTAATAGATCTAATAGAATTCGCATACAGGAGAACTATTTCGAAGTCAACAATAAGTTCTACACGCAACAGACAGGCATAAGCATGGGATCAGTTATAGGCCCGAAGCTAGCAGAACTTGTCATGGTAGATATAGACCAAGTAATCAAAAAGTTTACAGGCATAAAGTTCTATAAGCGATATGTGGATGACATAATTATACTATACGACCAAGAATTAACAAAATTAGAAGATATAGAAGAAAAAATAAACAAATTAAACGATAACATCAAATTCAAGGTAGAAAATGAGGCAAACACAGAAATAAATTACCTCGACATAAAAATAATCAGGAAAGCAAACAGGATTGAATTCGAGCCATACACAAAACCATGCGAGATCAGGAAAGTGTTAAACTACAACTCAAACATTCCGCAGTACATAAAAGAAAACATATTCATCATGGAATATAAAAAGATCGAGAACAGAACAAGCTCACTACAGACGAAGGAAAAACACCTCAACGAACTGCGAACAAAATTCCTATTAAACGGCTATCCAAAACGAATGCTAAACAACTGGGAAAGGAAAATGAACAACAAAAGGCTGGAAAATAAACAAAACGAAGGAAACACAGTAAGATACATACCCTTCCCATACATCCGTGGCTTCTTTGAACAGGTAAACAAAAGTTTTGAAAAAATAAATATAAAGCTAGCCCCAACCTATAACAACTTGCAAAAAAGAATCCGGAAGACTATACCTGACAGAAATAAACAACCAGACAAATACAACACTACCGAAGTCGTCTATAAAATACCTTGCACATGCGAACCCCCAAAAGTATACATCGGTGAAACAAAAAGAAAATTAGAAACAAGATTAAAAGAACACATCGCAGACCTGAAGTATAATAGAATCAACTCTGTTTTTTACGAACATTGCACGACCCACAACTGCAAAATAGATAAGAATGATGCAATAATAGTACACAAAGAAAAAAATTGGTACAAAAGAAAATTCAAGGAAAGCTACGAAATTACTATAGACAAAAATAATATTAACAAGAACCTAAGCATTGACATCCATAAAAACTGGCTACAATTATTAAAACAGAATGTTTATACAGTCGCAGGAGAGGCTGTACGCAACACTCGGGGAGGGGTGAAGTTACAAATTACGAGGCATGCGGGGGAGGCCGTCAAGTCGGGAGAAGATGGAAGCGGGAAGTACGGAAAGTCCCAGACTGATACCGTATACTATCAATGTAACAGACTGAAGAGGGGCGAAAGCCCGAAACGCGTTTCTGTATGAATTAAAAGTAGACGATGGAATTATTTGCCAAGTGTCGATAAATGCACCAAGTCGTGACATAGAATTAGAAGAAACAAAATGAAAGGAATTTTTATAGTTCTTTGCATTCGGAACTACAAAAAATATTTTCATTCGATTTTACATTAAACTATATATTTTAAATATAAAAACCTTAAAAATATATTTTAAGTCATTTTTAATTCTCTTTACTGTTTTTTTATATATATAAAATATATTAATATATCGTTTTGGTTTTAATTTAATTCATATAGTTTATATCTTAATTATATTAAAAATACAAAATTGTTTTCTATTAATCCTCACACTCATTAGGAACAAAAACAGTTTTCATTAACAGACACGTCCTTTCATTGGACATTTTATTCCCTACAATATGTTGTTAATTTGCAAATACTGTCCACCAATTTTTAACTCTTTTGTATCTTGGAAATGAGGTTGTCAGGACAAGCAATAAAAATAAATTTTAAATTAATCATTTTTTTTTTTTAATTTCTTCCATAATTTTGACACGTTTTTAATTTGTAGATAGCTATGATATATTTCTATCGATAGTTAGATCAATATACAGTATTTCTTCTCATTTAAAAAAGATAAATGAAAGTATTTCCGCTCCAACTTAAATTATTTATTGGAGAATAATAATTTTATTATTCAAATACAAATTATAGGCCTACTATTAGTTAGATAAACATTCTTACGATTTATAGCATTAAACATAATTAACCAGTTTTATTTACAATTGCATGCAGAAAAACGCGCATAATAAATCTGATCATCCTTATTTTATAGGCTGAAGTCATTTTTCAATGGTAGAAAACACAATAAAGTACTTTAAATTCGGGCTTACTCGTCAGTCACCGGAAAAAACCGTTAGTCATACTCTTAGTCATTATTGCGTGAAGAAATAACACTTATCATATTTAATGATACTTCATGCGATAATCCTGAAAAAAAAAAGCGATTTTACTATCTACGTTTTCACTATAAATAATTTTAAATAATTATTATTAGCGAAAGGTTAAATAAAAGAAAGTATAAATGAAAAATGAGAACGTTTTAAAATAATTAAACATAATTAAGAGCTCGTAGAGAATTTTTAACAAGCACAAAATATTTCAAAAATTATGTCTATGACATTACTATATGGTAAAACATTTAAACAGGTTACATAAATATGTGTACAAGTAAATATTAACTAATAAATATAAGATAGAATAATAATATGTACAGTACGTAAATATAATTAATGTATAAAATAAGTATTCATATAGACATAAGATATTTTGTCCCTATACGATGTATAATGATTATAGAAATAAATACATGAAATCGCGGACACACGAAGATGTATTATTCAAACGAAACGACAACTCTACAAAGATAGGTCTATTGATCACGCGTGATTTTTTTTTTTCATAAATTCCAGAACATTAATCAACTTTTTGACAGTCTTATCGAAGATAAACAGTGATTGCAGACTAAACCCTTTAAAAATTCATTTAGATTTTACCAAGCGTTTCTCTTCAAAAAGAAAATTCGATTCATCTCGAACTTCGAATCATTCATAAACGGAGCGTGACTCGACTTATTCAACATTTTTAATATGACAGATCTTAAACATTCGCTATTAATCTAACATAACAACTATTTATTATGGAATATTACATAATTTAAATATAAATATTTAACATCACTAAGTTATCTAAAGATTTGACATTTTAATGTAAATTTTGATGATACCGTCATCGATTTGATGTAGAGAAGCATCGAACATTGATCAAAATTTTAATATCGATATGAATAAATGATTTTATAATAAAATATTAATAATTTTTATTTTAAAACAAGTGAAAATTTTTTAATATACTTTCATATAACATTTTTTTTATTTTCTAATTTTTTACAGTCATGAATATCTGATTCAATTATGCCGGAAGATGGAAAAGATCTTAATGAATATGATAGACTTTCAGATTTTATTTCTTGAAACTTAAATTTTGTTTAGATTCTATGAATGCTAAATTTATTTAAGTATAGATAATTAATTATTTATACCATTTTCTTTTATACTTAAGAGAACATACAAGGAAGAGATTTGGAAAAGTTACAAAATCTTCCAATTTTTTTTGTTTTTCTATTGATTTTTCCTAAATACATAAATTTTTAATTTAAGTATGAATAATCTTATTACTCATACTGGAATTTTTAAAAATGATTCTTATGAAATTTTATTACGGGTCCAATTTAATAATTTAGAAATGGATCAAAAGGGCATCGCCCAACAAATTTCAGTTTGTAATCTTTGTGTTATGTTTTATTAACACACGTATAATTATAAATGTAATACAAAGTTAAATTTGATTTTTTTTTTTTAAATTAAACTATTCACAAATACATTTAGCAAATTATAATCACAAGATATAATATTCTGTTTTGCATATTAAATTTTATTCAGATTTCAAAAAATAATATTTCTTTACAAAGTCATGACGGGCAAAATTAGAAATAAGAAAACTAATATAATCTTTAAAACTTAGAAATATAGCAAAATCAAAGATCAAATAGGTTCGTTCTTCTGGGGCATTTCTATTATTTAACGAGGATTCGCCGAATAGAGTCGTAGGGAGGTAATTTCCCCATTTATCGAATATAATTGAGATGTTTCAGCTTCTAGTTATAGATTCAATTAACTAACTGTATACAAATTCTATAAAGTATCACTAAATAAAAGTTTTTCTTTATAATTATTTTAATAAAAATGCATATTTAAAAAAAAAATTATTGTTAATAAACAACAAAATTCTTCCAGTATTTTTTTATCAGTCATGAAACTCGACGGAGTCAATTAGCTGTTTCCAAGAATTGTTTGTAAGCAATTGTTGATGATATTTGGGAAAGTGCAGGAAGTGTTTCATTCTCAGCTGTTGTCTATTAATCGAGTGATGAGGAGAAGGGCAATGTTTGCGTGATGTTTCCACGTCACTGTATGTGAGGTTGAGCGTGACAGGTGAGCATGCGGCCGAGTGACAGCCTCGTGGAGTCATTCTTTTCGCAGATTCTCGACTTGGATGAAAACATTTGCTTTGGTGAGTCTTGTTTTATTTGTTTATGTTATTTTTATTGTGGTGCTTCTTTAATTTATTATATTTATCTTTACTATTTTTTTTTAAATATTAATTAAACTCTCGGCAAGTTATATTTTATAGTGTAATGATCTGCAAGTTTAAACGGTAATATTTTCGACATTTTTACACAAATTGTTGACATTTAAACATCGTATTTTCAGATAATGTAAAACAAATATTTATATATAATAATTTAAAATTATATTTAATTAATATATTACGGATATTTATATAATATGCATATAGTTATTTCAACTTTATTTTCTGCTATTTTTGCTTAGTTATAAAAGAAAGCAAATCTTTTCTTTTTCTCTCTTTTAAGTTCCAGTTTCTTTTTTAAAAAATAATTTTCTAGTTTCATATATTAATTATAATAATTTTTCCATAATAAAACATGAAGAATAATTTGATTTTGACATGTTAATGTTCTAACTTAAATGCATTAAGTGAAGCATCCTACTTAAGCTACACATCAGTAGGCAGATATAATAGAGCGATGGAAGTTAGGCGATCGACAAGGTTTAATGCATTCCATAAATACGAATTGTTTATGTAGGTCTGAAGATGATGCAAAATAGGACATGGAAATTTAAAAGCTAATAAAATCTTTATCTATAATAAAATATTATTGAAATTTCTGTTATCAAATTGATAAATTAAAAAAAAATTTCTATTCAATGTCAAGTAGTTTTAATGTTTCCATTTTTAGTAATAGTTTGACAAGTAAATTACCGGATTAAACTTTTACTTGATATGAAATTCAATTTTTAATAAGGTAATTTCTCGTATCCTATGGGGCGATGTAGACCATATTGACCTTTTTCTTAAAGGAAAAAAAATTCCCGGCTCTAAATAAACTATAACTCACTTATGTGGGATCGTAAATGCGTGAGAACAATAAATAGTGCAGTAATTTACGGTCATATAAATTTAGCAAAGAATAGCAAATACTGTTTCTCTATTCTTTGATTCTCTTCCGTTCTTGGGAATTCCTTCTTNACGGATATTTATATAATATGCATATAGTTATTTCAACTTTATTTTCTACTGTTTTTGCTTAGTTATAAAAGAAAGCAAATCTTTTCTTTTTCTCTCTTTTAAGCTCCAGTTTCTTTTTTAAAAAATAATTTTCTAGTTTCGTATATTAATTATAATAATTTTTCCATAATAAAACATGAAGAATAATTTGATTTTGACATGTTAATGTTCTAACTTAAATGCATTAAGTGAAGCATCCTACTTAAGCTACACATCAGTAGGCAGATATAATAGAGCGATGGAAGTTAGGCGATCGACAAGGTTTAATGCATTCCATAAATACGAATTGTTTATGTAGGTCTGAAGATGATGCAAAATAGGACATGGAAATTTAAAAGCTAATAAAATCTTTATCTATAATAAAATATTATTGAAATTTCTGTTATCAAATTGATAAATTAAAAAAAAATTTCTATTCAATGTCAAGTAGTTTTAATGTTTCCATTTTTAGTAATAGTTTGACAAGTAAATTACCGGATTAAACTTTTACTTGATATGAAATTCAATTTTTAATAAGGTAATTTCTCGTATCCTATGGGGCGATGTAGACCATATTGACCTTTTTCTTAAAGGAAAAAAAATTCCCGGCTCTAAATAAACTATAACTCACTTATGTGGGATCGTAAATGCGTGAGAACAATAAATAGTGCAGTAATTTACGGTCATATAAATTTAGCAAAGAATAGCAAATACTGTTTCTCTATTCTTTGATTCTCTTCCGTTCTTGGGAGATCCTTCTTATCATGACTCACCGTTTGCCCTTCGTATTATATATAAAAGAGATGAAATTTAATATAAAGGGGCCAAAATATTGAAAATATGTTAGTAATTATTATCTTATTTAAAATATAGGAAATAGCAAATATCATTAAGCAATTTTTGTATCTACGTAAGAGAAAATCACGAAATTATTTGTAATAGTGACACTTGTGATTTTATTAAATCTCTTGGCACTTAGTTCCGCTTTTTTGGGGTGGAGGCCTCCGGTTTCGGTTCGAAGCCTTTCTTTTTAGTATAACTGCAAAGAATGAATCGAAAGAAGGGCGTAACATGGTTTACATGACGTCATCCGTAACATGCAAGAGTCACGTGAATTGCAAGAGAATGTGATTCCGCTTAATTCACGCCCATCTCTTATCGAATAGGCTATTAATTTTAAGGCACGAAACCGCTTCCAGATTCTAATTAAGCTTTTATTTAAATGCAAGAAAATTTGTATATTTTTTCGTATTAAAAAAATTAAATTCATTATTAAAATATTGTTAAATAAATCTGAAGACATAACATTTATAACAAATACTATTTTTCAGGGAAGATAAACTTCGGCGATGAATTTAACACAGCAAAGAAGGAGTAAACTGTTGGTTCAAAATTGAAAATCAATATGTATTCGGATCTGGATCACGTATTTCTCATCTTAGGTTCTCCAGGAAGATATCAACTGTTAGTAGGATTTTTAGTTTGCTGTCTTCAGTTACCGGCATATTTTACAGATATTCTGTTAGAAGTGTTTTCTTTTACTCCACCTCATCGATGTCGAGTGAAACCCGATGGAAACCGAACTTTAGGTGAAAGCGAACTGAGACCTTTAGTAGAAATTAATGGAAAAAGATTATTTTCTTCGTGCAGTAGATACGTCGATCCTAATGATAAAAGTTTAGGCACAGAAAATTGTCTAGAAGGTTGGGAATTTCTGTTACCACAAAATGATTGGAGCGTCGTTGTGGAGGTATCTACTTTTCAATTACTTATTGTTATTAATCAGAATTATATACATAAAATCAAGTAGCTGTAAGACTTCCGTAAAAGAGAAATGTATTTTAAAAAATTAAAATTAATTTTTTCAGTAATATATTACGTTATTACACACTTTTTCGACATTTATTTGCCTAATTTTATTTCGTTTTCCATTCTTAGCATGTTCATTTTTTTTCTATATTTTTGTTCGTGAAATATTATTGTTCCATAAATTATTATTTTATTGCATGTTGTATCCACGACAAGGCCCCTGCTCAGGATTTTTAAAAGGGTGGGTTTAAAAAACACATTATTTTTTCATAACGTAGTTTATTAATATTTCCAATATAGACAATACAGTAAAGAAGAATGAACGAGTTCAAAATATATATAAATTATATTTAACGTTTCCCATTTGGAAAGAATTATCATACCGTACATATTTGGTTTCTAGTTAAACCCGAAACCCCTATATGTGCACGACTCCTGATTCCAAATCTCCAGTGTGCATGACCTTGTACTTAAACTTTTCTAGTTTCTTTTTTATTAGAAAATTATACAAATGCAATAAAATCTTTTAGAAAATAAATTACAAATGTTATTTTTTTAAAAATCATTATTATTATATAATTTGTCTGTAATTATTTATAATTATTTTAATTATATTTAAATTTAAATTCAAAATATTATTTACTGTATCATTTATTCTATCATTACTAAATTGCTTTCTTTAAAAAGAAGACATCTCGGCATCTTATGTTTAAATTTTATTAGATTTGTTATCTTTTAATTATAACTTATGTAATAACAAAAGAATTCTTTTTGACTTTTCGTCTTGTGGACCTTTTTATCATATCCATCATGATTTGGTCAGGCCTACAATGGAAGTAGCAGAGTGATGTCGGAGACCAATATATACGGCTCAATCCATTCGTGAAAAGTTTTGAGACTCGAATATGTATCCTAAGCACAATGGTGCCTTTATTTTTTCGGTCATCCGCCATTATTAAAAATTAATTAAAATAAAATGCAAATGAATAAATTTATACTTTTTAAAAAAATTTTTTCAGTGGGAATTAGTTTGCCAAAGAGAATTTTTGGTCAAGTTGCTACCTTACATATACAACGGAGTGGCCATCGTTGGTTGCACTCTCATCGGTTGTTTAGCCGACCGTTATGGTAGAAAAATAATACTTTTATTCGCTACATTTTTGCATTCTGCGCTCTCTATTGCGTTATATTTTCCACCAAATTACACGTCATTTGCTACTCTTTATGCCATAGACGGAGTATTTGCTTTGGTATGTCTTCCTTTTTTGATTTAATAATATTTAATATTGAAAATGTTACTAATATTCAGTATTTTTTTATTATCTTTTTAGAGTATTCAATGCATTTCTTATATTTTGTTACTGGAAATTCTTCCGACTCCATATCAGTGGAAAGCAGCGGCATGGCTAGCTGCAATCAGGCCTTGTAGTTTGCTTATGTCGTCACTTTTCGCCTGGCTTATACGCCATTGGAGATACGTTCAACTGGCTGTGGCAGTTTTAGCTATCGTCCCACTTGCATTCTTTTGGTATGTTGTCAAAGTTATATACAATAACGAATATTTTAATTAAAAATTAATTATAGAATTTCGTCGAAGGTTGATTCCTCGTTCTCTTCATTGGTTGGTATCAGAAAATAAATTATCGGATGCCGAAAACGAAGTAGAAAGAATTGCTCAATTTAATAATATTAGTGTTCGTCCAAGTTTCCGTCTACAGCTGCAAAATGCCTATAATGTCATCAGATCATCCGGAGGAACGTCTTCCTCCCGTCATAGTCTGGAAGTCATATTTTGTTCGAAACGTCTCAGAAGATATACTTTTATACAATATTATATCTGGTAAACTGTAAAATTTATATATCCTAACGTCTTTATATAATTTATATTTTATTTATTTATTATTTTGTAAAAATGTTTGAAATTTTCTACTAGGTTTTCAATGGTTTTGGTATCTCAAGTAACAATAGATGATGTTCCTGCTTTGAAGGAAAGAAAATATTTAAGTCTTTTTGTAGAAGGTTTAATAGGATTAGGAATGATCATATTCATTTATTTTCTTGTCGATAGGTTTGTTAAAATTGCTAAAAATGATTTACATTTATATTCGCTTGCATCAGATTATTATTATTATTTTTTTTAACTTTTCAAGTAGTTAACGTTTAAATTTAATTTAACATATTTTAAATATATTTTNTTTAAAGATTGATAATTGAAAACATTGGACAAATGTAAAACAAAGAGGACACGTGAACACGTGAATAACGCTCTTGAAAAGCTAATTGACCCCGCACAAGGCGGACGGCCAATAGCTCTGAAAGTTGCGTATGTAATTTACCGTCACGCGCCAAAACTATAAGATGCTACGTACTAGAGGTATTTACAATAATTTCGACCCGGAACTACTAGAAATCGTTCCACACCGAGTGTTGAAACAGTTCCAGTTTCCAGACAAGCACGCTAGTAGCGGGAGCAATGTGACGCTCAACAGTAAAAATGGGATTGATGTGTTCTGAAGTGATTCTAAAAATTCTAATATTGTGGTTGGCAATTTCCAAACAAAACTGAAATGTGTCGCTAAAGATGCTATGTTGCAAGTCCGTAGCGATCCATGCTTCTCTGTCACATCATCATTGCAAATGAAACCGATCATGTTGGGATGTTAATGGCAAGACAAGCAGTGGTCTCCATGCATACAAATCAGCCTCTGCTGGTTGCCTGCGGATGGTACAGGAAGAGACAAGATTTGTATCTGAATGGTAGACAAAATGTCTTTGCTTGCGTCACGATCACACAACTATCTCACCCAATAGTCTGTCTGGAGCGTCCAGACCCTGGTCATCATGTATGTGCACCCTGACGTAATCATAGCTCCCAACACCAGGACATAGTAAGGTTAGAATGGCTCAAATGACGAAGCATAATGGCCAATTCTGCGAAATGGCCATTATGCTTCCTTCAGCCTTAAATATAGCTGACGGAGCCTTTCTCAACTTCCATCAGCTATATGGACCATTTACTAATTATAAAACTAACTTGAAAAAAAATGTATAAAGTTAGGTTGTATAAAAATACTTGGATATTAAACCATAGATACTCAAAGCCATCAACCACACGTCGACCTCTTCCTATGGTAGCGGACGAAGCAGAGGAAGAAGTCAGCCATTTTGAAATCAAAGGAAAATCCGTATACGTCCCTCCAATGCCACCTAATGACATTATAAATGGAGAAGATACGTTAAAGACGATTAGTGATGGCATAGATTTTCACAAAGGAGCCAGAACAAGAACGGAATGTTATATTCAAGAAGACGGAGCGGATAATGAATCTCGCTTGACCGATTTAGAAGAAGAATTAACGAAAATTTGGGAACAGAATACACATCATTACTGTAGAGATTCAAGTAATTCTCACGGAAGAGATCTGTACGTATTTTATCATTCCGATGCCAACAAGAGCAGAAACATGAGAGAAACGGGACTATAAAATAATTAAAATTTATTTATAAAAATTATATTAAATTTAATATATATTGTATTTATATTAAAATAAAAACGTTATTTGTAGAATATTTATTTATATTTTATAGTTATTGAAATTATGTTAAATTTACTATTCCAATGACCGTTAACAATAAAGTTGATTTTCAGATTGTATAAGTTAATCAAATGTAGCTAATGAAACACAATATTATGAGATATTTTATTTAGAATGTTTGATTTGAAGTAAATGATAAGAATTATTGTTATAAAATTTATACATTATAATTTTTTAGACTTGGATCTAAAGTTTAGAAAAATCTTGGATCCCAAGCAGCTTGGAACCAAAATCTTCTCAAATTAAATTCCCAAGCTGGGGGGTCATATATATATATATATATATTTATTAAGAATTGATAAAATTTATAAGTAAATATACGGATATATACAAGTCTATATGTATACGAACGTACTCCTAATGACATAAATGGACGTAAAAAAATTATACGGATATATACAAGTCTATATGTATACGAAGTACTGATATAGACTTGTTAATCATAACAAATAAAGAAAATAAACTTCATTAATTCAGGGATTTGTGAACTCTAAATTTTACAGGAATCAATTTTATATTTTATATAATTAACTTTTATAGGAAAGAATAAGCTTGCAAATTAATAGCTTTAGTTTATTTTAATTAAATACGTAGAAATACGTTGAACAATTTTAAAATTATGTAAATTTAATTTTGATGATATGAAATATTAAGTAGTTTAAGACAAGTTTTCTTATTGTAATTTTATATGTACAGTACTGTACATACAATTCAAATGTTATTCAAATTCATTCAAACAGATGCTTTACATCAATGTTTGAAATGGCATCTTTACTTTAAATTAACAAATAATAACAAAAGATTTTATACAATAACTAACCTTTAAATGGGACACATCCTGAAAACACGAATGTTCATAGTTCAGTTCATTCAGATAAAAATCTATGCAAATAGTTCTAAGGACAACAGACAAAGGGAAAGGAGAAAAGGAACAATTTCTCAGTATTTTCAATGTTAAAATTCTAATATTAAAAAACACTTTACAACCTGTTTTAAGTTTTTATTATACTTTTGAAATGTTTAATACTATTGATAATTTTATTAAATTATTTAAATGATTGTCGTTCATATATAATCATTCTACTTCGCTACATAATTTTCTCAACAACAACAAAAAATAATATGTTATCATTATTTTCTCTTTTATCCGAATTGATACTGTAAATACCGGTACTTCCAAAATTTTTCTATAATTTTCAGCTTACCATAAATATTCACCTAAAATCGGATCACAAGAGCCAACGATTAAACAAAATTTTTCAAGATTTATGAAAGTCGAATATCATAATTTTTCACTCTTTTAGCCCCGTGAATACTGAGAGCCCATTAAAATTTGAAACGTATATCTCTGTTTAAAAAGTTTTCATAAAAATAGACAACATTCGTTCGATTGTCATTCACAATGAACGAAAACAAGAATTAGTGGATTTGTACGGGTTTATTAGCAATGTCATTCAAATAAAATCCAGCAACGAATTGTGTAACTTTCTGGACGAAAATTATTTGTGTTTGAGAAAACTCATTTGCAAAGTTTAAATTTTTGTGGCGTCATCTCTTATGAGATTTTATTTTAAAAATAACTTTTATATTATTAACAAAAAACTTCGAAGCAAACACATTTATTTTTTAGTAAAACTAAAATTTGTACAGTAATCCTCTTAATATCGCTGGAAATATCGTTATACTTCTTCCTGTTATTTAACGACCGGGAAAGTAATATTAAAAATTATCCAAAAAAGCAACAATTATAAGAGAAAGGAAATATGTTGCAGAATTTAAAAAAAATATGGATTTCCATATTTTAAAATGCGAGCATCTATCAGAATTTGTATAATTTTGCAGGTTTTAAGCTCCTAAAGAAAATAAATCATCCAACGTACGCCGAAAAAGTTGTTATATTGTGTTTTAAAGAAAACCATCCAAACCTCTCAAAAAATTGATAAATATATTATTAAAACAAAGTGTAAATCGAAACAACGCTTTTAAAGATTGATAATTGAAAACATTGGACAAATGTAAAACAAAGAGGACACGTGAACACGTGAATAACGCTCTTGAAAAGCTAATTGACCCCGCACAAGGCGGACGGCCAATAGCTCTGAAAGTTGCGTATGTAATTTACCGTCACGCGCCAAAACTATAAGATGCTACGTACTAGAGGTATTTACAATAATTTCGACCCGGAACTACTAGAAATCGTTCCACACCGAGTGTTGAAACAGTTCCAGTTTCCAGACAAGCACGCTAGTAGCGGGAGCAATGTGACGCTCAACAGTAAAAATGGGATTGATGTGTTCTGAAGTGATTCTAAAAATTCTAATATTGTGGTTGGCAATTTCCAAACAAAACTGAAATGTGTCGCTAAAGATGCTATGTTGCAAGTCCGTAGCGATCCATGCTTCTCTGTCACATCATCATTGCAAATGAAACCGATCATGTTGGGATGTTAATGGCAAGACAAGCAGTGGTCTCCATGCATACAAATCAGCCTCTGCTGGTTGCCTGCGGATGGTACAGGAAGAGACAAGATTTGTATCTGAATGGTAGACAAAATGTCTTTGCTTGCGTCACGATCACACAACTATCTCACCCAATAGTCTGTCTGGAGCGTCCAGACCCTGGTCATCATGTATGTGCACCCTGACGTAATCATAGCTCCCAACACCAGGACATAGTAAGGTTAGAATGGCTCAAATGACGAAGCATAATGGCCAATTCTGCGAAATGGCCATTATGCTTCCTTCAGCCTTAAATATAGCTGACGGAGCCTTTCTCAACTTCCATCAGCTATATGGACCATTTACTAATTATAAAACTAACTTGAAAAAAAATGTATAATTATAAAGTTAGGTTGTATAAAAATACTTGGATATTAAACCATAGATACTCAAAGCCATCAACCACACTACAGACAATATTCACAAGTACAAGGGCACTATATACCTTTACACGGACAGTAGAACGGCCCTTAGTATCCTCACGAATGGCAAGAGGCACATCGGCCTTTCTGCCAATCTTATCTCCAAAGCCAATAACCTCAGCAAGATCAGAAAACTCCACTTCAATTGGATCCCTGGGCATACGGGGCAAGCTGGTAATGAACTAGCGGATAAACTAGCTAGGAAGGCTTGCATCCTGAACAGGGAACCATCCTACAAGAAACTTCCTCATTCATGGTTAAAAAACCAACTTACCAACTTAGCTCTCAANCAGGACAAGTAGTGGTCTCCATGCATACAAATCAGCCTCTGCTAGTTGCCTGCGGATGGTACAGGAAGAGACAAGATTTATATCTGAATGGTAGACAAAATATCTTTGCTTGCATCATGATCAGACAACTATCTCACCCAATGGTCTGTCTGGAGCGTCCAGACCCTGGTCATCATGTATGTGCATCCTGACGTAATCATAACTCCCAACATCAGGACATAGTAAGGTTAAAATGGCCCAAATGACGAAGCATAATGGCCAATTCTGCGAAATGGCCATTATGCTTCCTTCAGCCTTAAATATAGCTGATGGAGCCTTTCTCAACTCCATCAGCTACATGGACCATTTACTAATTATAAAACTAACTTGAAAAAAATGTATAAAGTTAGGTTGTATAAAAATACTTGG